ACTATTGAGAGGTGTAAAAAAATATGCCTGTCAACTCCTGTCTCCCGCCTGCGAAGCTCATTGGGCTGTGCAAATCAATTCAAGACTATTGGTTCTCAACGTGGAAGTAACCCTGTGGAAACTCTCCATAAAAAAATAAAAGCCTGCTTCCAAGTTGGGTGGTGAGCTCCAGCTAACGGCCCAATAATCTGGCTGGTTGTTTCAAAAAATGTTGATTAAACCTACGCTCAGTCACTCACAACAATTTTGAACAACAAATGTTTTCTTCCGCTTCCAAGTAGCTCAACAATAGTCAACGGGCTCAATACCCCTTCGAAAACGTTTCAACAGTGTCCGAAATATATATAGTAATCGCTGCGTGTAAGTGCCTGTAGGAGCCGCCACCCCTGTTGATTTCCAACCAAAATGATTGATCGGAGCTAAAGACCAATTTTTCATGAGTTCAATGTGACTGGACATAGTAAACTGGCTCTGGGGTAGATTGTAGCCCTCCGTGGCAACATAGCACGCTCTGATAAATTTGCACAGCTGTTCCGTTGTATGTCGCAAATGCCCTAATGCAAGAGATGGACGTTGCTTGAAGGGTAAACGCCAAACACTGTCTAATATAAGAAAACTGTCGTGACCCCTTATTGCGCGTACATGTCCACGCAGCATCAGTGGTGCAAGTACAGGTTAGTGGCAGCAAACGTATTCGTTCAGACGGATCAGGACGATTTCATATCTCCTGCAAGCCATCACTAAAAGACAAAGCAGGTAGTGGAAAAATATCCGTAAGCAGCAAAACAAGCATTCGCAATGGGGCAGTTCATTACTCACCACCATGAACCCATATATATACATGATGAATTTGATACCAAGAATGACGACGATGAGAAACAAACCTTTGAATCAACAGACAGTGAAATGACGGTAGAAAGCGTTGGCAAACTCAGTTCCGGGTTTATCAGGAAAATATCAATACAAGAGAGTCAAGAACGCTTCTTGCAGGATAAGGTATATAAGAAGTGTGGTCAAACTAGGTGTCTATCGAAATTGTGCACAGAAATTGTTGAATAACAAGTGAAATTGTACATATACACGCATATATATATATATATATATATATATATATAATATATAGTATATACGTAGTGTGTGTGTGTGTGT